TGTCTCTCAATTTTATGAAAAAAAGAAAGAAAACTTACACATGCATGCTGAGAAGCTGACAACGCCATTGCACTGTGGGGAGGAAGGGACCCACAAGTGGAAGAATCCAAGTGATGCCCATGGGAGTTAATTCACCCTGTTTTCTCTGGGTCATTGGCCAAAAGAAGTGATATTTGGGTAGAAGCGCTTCTCAAAATGAAATAGTTCAATGCTTGAGGTGTCAGATAACAGAATTTCTAGAGTTTTAGGAAAACTAAGGAGAACATAAAACTTCCCTCTCTGAACTTCAGTAACAGCCAGGAAACACAGAAATCACTGGCAGGATGTTTCTTTGACTTATACTAGCATTGCAGGAATGTGAGAGGTGTGGGTGTAGGTGTGGCTACAGCAGAAAGGCTGATGAGAGTCTTGCTTGAGGTCATTGTCAGGCAAGTCTGATCCTCAAAGTCTACTGTGTGCATGGTAGATACTGGGTTGTCGGGAAAGTCATGATGTATTTTTACATAGAAAAACATAGAAAAATACATCACGACTTTCATGACAATCTAATATTATTCTCTGACCCAAAGCATTCTGTTGAAACAGACACAAATACTTATTTCCACCAGATCAAAGTAGTCAAAACATGCACTCAAAAGCTATAGTTGCCTTCCCAATTACCAAGATACTTCAGGAATAGGTAGTGTCTCCATGATACACAAACCGTGTAGTTCTTTTTATTAACTTGTATCCTCACTGTCTCCCACTCACTTTGCTTCCTTCAGGCTTTGTGGAGGGAAATAGACCAATCACTGAGCTATAGCTGTCTCTCTGCTCTCTAAATTACAAGAACACTGTTGCTTCCAGTTAGTAAAACTATACTATATAGTTCGTAAGGAATTTTATGCCATATTTTCTTTACTGCTGTAAAGTTAGTCGATGATATTATGACAGTGAGCAACATTCCTCAATTTTATCCACAAAGAAATGGAACTTGGTTAGATGGAGCACCTTGCCGCAAGTCATCCAGGTCCTCTAGCTCTGTCTGAGATCAACCCTTTCTCAACCTCACCTTGAAAGGATGGAGTAGGGAGGATCTTCAAATTCAACAGGATTTGATTTTGATTTCTTTCCTCCTCCCCACCCATTCTTCTCTCAATACGTTTTTCCAAGGAAATGCCAGAGGGTGGCAGGTACTTCACCATTTTATAAAAGCTAATGTTTTGTCATTTTGCATAGAGTTTAATTCCAAGTCGGACATACTGTGGGAGCTGACTCTTCCTTCTCTTTCCTGTCTTCCACCTCTAATCCTCCTTCCTCTCCCCTATAAGTGCTCTATCCTCCTAATCCTATGCCTTCATTCACATCTTCATTGTTCTCCTCTTTATCATCATCATCATTATCATCTTCTGATAGAGATTCCTTAGTCAATTGGCACTTGGGATTCTACTGCAAATAATCCATCTTTGAGAAGCCCTCTCTCAGACAACGTGTATTTTTCTATTTCTGAGTTCGTTAGTGAATGTAATTGTGTCTAAATTAAAGTGGCTCATGCAAAAATGAATTAAAGAGCAACCTTACCTTTTGCTCAAAGTATCCATAATCGTGTTTGGATATGTCACTCTCTCTGGGCTAAAAACATTTTTTCCCCTGCTAAACAATGCTGTCTGTTGGGCTGCTTTTATAGATTCTACTGCTGTTTACACAGAAACCAGAAAAAGAACAGTGACTCTTGGGGCCAATTATTATTAACAGGAACTTGGAGATGAAAGTTTTGTACTTTTTCAGATGAGGCAAATAAGCTATCTTGAAATAAAATATTTGGACAAAAGGAGATAAGAGGCATAAATGGTTATAGACTTCCTCACAACAATTTAGTGACCTATTATCCAACTATATTAATGATTTTGTAACAATATGGGGAAATGAGGTGAATTAAAGAGGAAAAAAATTCATAATGAAAAATGGTATGTTTTTGATGATGAAGACTGTAAAAATACATCACAAGAGTCCATGTATTAGATCTATGTTTGCGTGTATATATACAGTGTGTGTAAAAATATATATTTGATCAGTTGTATCAGGGCGATTTCTAATTTTACTGCAGTGTCTTTAGAGAACATGGTCAACATAAAACCTATAACTTCATATTTGCTTAGACTTGTGCTGGTTCTTTTTGGTGCTTTTCTTTCTTAAGAATTTTTTTTCCGATAGGCCGCACATACTTGCCGGAGAGAGAGAGAAAATGGAATCCTGATATCTTGTTGGTAGGAAAGTGCAATGGTACAGCCATTTAGGAGAACAGTTTGACAATTCCTTTTTTTATTTTTTTCTTTGAGAGATGTTTGCAATAAGGCGTGTACACTCACTGGAGAGACAAAGAGACAGAAAATGAGAAATCATCTCCCAGAGGGGATGGCCATGTTGTAATCCCTTCTTCTACATTCTCCTTTCAGGATTTTGGGTACATATGCACACATTCCTGTTGTGAGTTTCAGGCCACCAGTTCAAGACTCGAACTATGATTGACTATGTGGGAGTCTAGTGTCTTAACCACTATATCATCTACTGGCCCCTTGGCAATTTCTTAAAGTTAAATATAAATTGCCAAATAATCCAGCAATTCCACTCTTTGGTGTATATCCAAGCAAAATGAAAATATATGTCTACATAGAGATTTTCATATACGTGTTCATAGTGGCATTATTCATAATTGCCAGAAAAATGGAAACAATCCAAATGGTCATTAACTATTGAAAGAATAATGAGTATCTGATATATTAATACAATTGAATATTATTCATCAATAAAATGATTTTTCATGCTGTCACATAGATAAACCTCAAAGTATACAAGCTGAAACAAGTTAGACATGGCAGATTATATATTATATGATTCTATTTATATAAAATGCCCATAAAAAGCAAATCTATAGAGACAGAAAGCAGATTAGTGATTTCCTAAGGCTGGGAGTAGGCAGGAGGATTGATTGCAAAGGAGCATAAGGGTAATTTTAGGGTAACAGAAATGTCCTAAAAGTAGGAACCAGCTGGTGGTGCAGAAGTTAAGGTGCTGGATCCCACATGGCCAACTGTGTGGTTCAAGTCCCGGATCCAGCAGCTTGAAAAATACTGATGTATTCATGTGCATTCCCAAGATCCTGAGAGGAGAATGGAGAAAAAGGGATTGTGGCACCTTCTGAGGTATGATTTCGCACTTTCTTTCACTCTCTTCCTTCCTCTCTCTCTCTCTCTCTCCCTCTCTCTCTCTCTCTCCCTCTGGGAAGCACACTTGCCTTATAGCAAAACCTGAGAGAATTAAAAAAGAAAAGAAGAGAAACATTCTAAAATTGGATTACTGTAATGGCTGCACAATTCTGCAAATTTATTAAAAATTATAAAATATATATTTAAAATGGGTAAGTTTCATGATGTAGAAATTATAGCTCATGTTTTAAAAAAGAGGGGCAACAGGTGGCATAGTTGTTAAGGCATTGGACTCCCACATGGCCAACTATGGTTCGATTCCTGGACCTGGTGGCTTGAAACTCATATGAGGCATGCATATGTGTGCCCAAAATACAGAGAAGAAATGGAGGAGAAGGGATTGTAGTATAGCCATCACCCCTGGGGAGGTGATTTCTCACTTTATTTCTCTGTCTCTCCAGCAAGCACACATGCCCTATAGCAAAAATCTCTTTAAAAAAAAAAAAAAAAAAAAAGAAAGGCCTGTAGTCTAGTGGTTAAGGGAGCCAGATCCCACACAGCAGACTATGAATCTTGGCCCAGAAGCTCGAAAAACGTGCCAGGCTCATGTGTGCACAAATCCCAACAGGATAGAGAAATGAAGGAAAGAGGATGCAGCATGACCACACCCTGTGGGAGTGCTTTCTCACATACTCTGCCTCCCCACCTCTGGTGAGTATTACCTGTCCTCTGACAATTAAAAAACAGTAAGACTTCTCCAACAAACTAAACAAGTTCTGAACATTTCATGATTTTCTACACCCTGAACCAAGATGAGCATTACATTCAGGACTTGTGAATGGGCAGAGACAATGAAACATGCCTCAAAACACTCAAGACGGACACAGCAGGTTTTAATATTCAACGTCATGGTCATTTCAGAAAGGAAGGGTCTAAGTTCAGTGCTGTGATCCTTTCTGGCTGCCTTCCATGGAGGGAGGTTGGGATGAGCTTTGCCCTAGGGTGACTTTCCACCTTGTCACTGATTAACCAGCTCTGTAGGAAGGCTTCTCTGCCAACATCCTGCTCTGCCTGGAGACGGTTATCTGGCCAAGCTTTGGTGAGCAGAAAAAATGTCCACTCGCTACCACCAAGCTGCCAGTGATAGCTACCTGGAACTTCTGAAAGAGGCTACCAAGCGAGATCTGAATCTCTCGGATGAAGATGGCATGACTCCAACCCTCTTGGCAGCCTACCATGGGAACTTGGAAGCCCTAGAGATAATCTGCAGCAGAGGGTAAGTTCAGTCTGATGGTTTCACTTGGAAACTGTGTACAGTTGGATTTTGCAAATGGCAAACAATAGGTAGGGAAGTCAGTGAAAATACTTTTCTCTCTTTCTGGACTGTCTAAATAATTGACTTTTTTTTTTGAGAGAGAGATTTTCAATGTAGGGCGCGTGCGCTCGCCAGACAGACAGAGAGAGACATAGAGACAGAAAGCGAGAAATCACCCCCCGGGGGGATGGTCACGCCGCAATCCCTTCTCCTCCATTCTCCTCTCGGGATCTTGGGCACGCACGCACACGCGCCCGGCGTGAGTTTTAAGCCACCGGGTCTGGGACACGAACCGCGGTCGACTACGTGGGAGTCCAGCGACATAGCCATTACGCTAACTGCTGGTTCCCAATAATTGACTTTTTTGAGAAGGGGGATATTTTGCCTAGAGATGCTATTTTTTTGAATCAAGAACTGGCACCATGGGAGCGACTCACCCCGTAGCCACACATAGAGGAGAAACCATGAACTCTAAGGCGTTATCTGCCTTGGGTGAGTGGCTAGAGAAAGACATTTTAATTGTAAGCCTTTAATTTTTTTTTTCCCATAAAATTTAAACAATTAAAAAAAAAGAAAAGAGGATAGACCCTGTTCAGAGGCAAGCCTCTGGTCTCTGGATCCCACAGGGCCAACCACACAGTCAAAAAGCTTACTCAGTGAGTGTGTATATGTGCCTAAAGTCCCCAAAGAGGGAGATACGGAGGAGCAGGTATTGTGGTATGACTATGCCCCATATGGGTTGTTTTGTTTTTTGCTGGCTATCTCTCTCTTTCTGTCTCTCCCTAGCTAGTGTATGTGCATTCTGCACCCCTTCCCCCAAATCACCATTCTACTTGGTTTTAAGTTGTCAACCCCGGTGAGAACAACTGACGTGCCTTGATTATATTGTATTTTTTCATCTATGCTATTAAAATCCTACAACCTTATATTAACACTCAATTCTGTCGTAAGCTCACAGTTCTTAAGTGAAGTTGCTGGCTTTATAAGACATAGTAGGGACCTTTAACCTCTGTTAACGTTATTACCGCTCAGGTCAGCAGGTACACACATCCAGTGGTGCCCACTCCCTTTACTACAGGAGTTAGCTCACTCTTTTCTTCTGTCTGTCTGTCTGTTACTAGAGGGACTAGACAGTGATGGCAACCATGACCTAAGAAGGGTAGAAAAAGAAAATGTAAAAAAGGAGCCAAGTGAATTCAATACTTATTTACTTAGTGTTCCGTGCCAACCATTTTGCCGCCACTAGGGACATGGTGATCAACAAGAGAAACACGATTCCTGTCATGGCGATCAGGTTTGAGAGAGAAGACCGAAAAAGTCATCTATAATATGTGTTTCAAAAGGGGAAGTAGAGGGTAGCAAATAATGCAGACATTTATCTCAATCTAAAGGGTGAAGAAAAGCTTTCCTAAGGGGAAAGTATTTAAGTGGGATTTAACAGATGAGAAAGAGTTGACCAAGTGAAGATGGAAGGAAGCGTGTTTAAAAGCATCCCTTTTTCTCTGCATTCTTGCTGGCATTTGGTCATTTTTATGTTTTTGATAATAGCTATTTTAACTGAGGCTAGTAGTTTAGATTTGTGTTTCTATAATGATAGTGATGTGGAATTTTTTTTCACATGCTTGTTAGCCATTTGTACATCTTCTTCTGAGAATGGTCCTATGTCCGTTTTTAATTGGGTTATTATTATTTTTTGCAGTTGATTTATTTCAGTTCTTTGTCAATTCTGTTTGTTAATACCTTGCCTGTGACACTATTTTTAATGACTACATGGTATTGTGTTTTCTGGCTTTATTATTTATTTTATTTGATTTTTTAGGTTTTTGCCATAGGGTGTATATACTTGCCAGCAAGAAATAGAGAGAGACAATAAGAGGAAAGTGAAAAATCACCCCTAAAGGGGGTATGCAGTCCCTTCTCCTTCATTCTCCTCCTGGGATTTTGTGCACACACGCACATGTGCCTAGTGTGAGTTCCAGGTCCAGTACTCAAACCACAGTCGGCCATGTGGGAGTCCAGCACCTTAACCACCACACCACTTGCTGGCCCCCATTTATTTTTAAGTGACAAAAAAAATTGTTTATATTCATGGTGTATAACATGATCATTTAAAAGGTGTATACATTCAGGGCTGGCAGGTGGTGTGGTGGTTAAGGGTGGTAGACTCCCACATGGCCAACCGTGGTTAAAGTCCTGGACCTGGTGGCTTGCTTTCTCCCTCTCTCTCATTCTCTCACTCTATCCCTCTCTGGTCAAATAAAAAAAAAGTAAATAAATAAAGTTAAATAAAAAGTTCTTTAAAAAAAGATGTATACATTGTAGAATGGTTAAATTAAGCTAATTAGCATATATTATTTCACATACCTGTGTGGTGAAAACACTGAAAATCCATTACTTTCCAATTATATGCAGATTTTTCAAAAAGTTAATGGAAAATGTGTATTATGAAAACAGCATGGATTTAGAAAATTTTTGTACTAAAATAAACCCCTTCTTTAACCCCATTTTTCCTCAAACTTTTTGAAGACCTTTGCTTTAATACCTTGTTTTTAACTGTAGTTTCCATGTTCTACAATAGCTCTCTTGAACGTAATCCTCTTAACTGATATTTTGTATTTCTTGACCAGTACCTCCCCAATCATTTCCTTCCTCTCAGACTCTAATAGCCTTTATCCTATTCTCTGTTCCCTATGAGTTCAACTTTTTTTAAAAATTAAATTTATTTATTTACATTCAGTCACTGTACATCGTTACAGTATACAAAGTGAGATTTTCCATCAAGAGTACACTGGCTCAATCAAGCACATCAACATACATGTTATCGTCAACAAATAATTTTCCATTTCTTGTTTCCTGTATGTTTTGCTTTTTTCCCCCCATCCTTGATTCCCTATCTCTTACCCTCTGCTGTCTCCCACTCTCCTCCCACACTGTCTCTGGTATCTGTTTGCTTTTTTTAATTTTTCCCCCACACATTTTATTGAGTCACTAAAGATCTTAATTAATCTAAATATTTTCATAGCGATCAGAGGTGATATATACATTTCCATGAATACAAGTCCAACTTTTGGCATAAGCCTCAGTGAGTAGAATGTACATCCTATAAAATAGCACCTACCTGGGGCTATATATCTTACTGCAGGCATCAAATAGGTATTTTTAATGCATTTTTTTTTAATTTCAAGAAAAACAGTTTTAGGGTTTTTTTTTTCTGAAACTTTTTTTTAACTTAATGTGATTTCCCATTACAAATGTGATTTCCCATACAAAATGTGATTTCCCACTCAGAATATACTGCAGAGTGGCTTAATTGTACATATTATTATCAAAAATTTTCCATTTCTAGTTTCTAGAATTTTTTTTACCCCTATTTCTGACCCTCTGTCCTTTCCCACCTTCTTCTCACACTATCTCTGGTGTCTACAATTGTCTTCCATTCCTTTTCCACTCACATTGTATTGATCACACAATTTCTTAAATGATCTAACTACTTTCAATAGCAAGTTCACTTGGTTCTATTAAGAAAACCAGTTTTAACTTAAATCAAAGAAATGCTAAGGAACTTTGCTTAAAGCCAGGAAACAGGTTAAGATTCTATTCTCATGGTAGGTGTGTGAACCTATCCATATCTCAAGGCAGGACACAAATCCTTATAACCAGATAAAAAAGTCTACAAGAAAATCAGCAATATTTTAGTCAAAAGTCATAAAATTATAGTTCATCAATTCAGTCTCATGTACTTTATCTCCTGTTGTGGTTCGATTTTCCTGATTAAATTCTGGGACATAATATTCAACCCCAGATTTGTTCCTACCATTAAGTTAGCCACAGAAGATTCCTCATGGCTCCTGAGTAGTAGTCATTTCAGGGTAAAAGAGAAATGAAGAGTTCCTACTGATAATTCAGCCTCCAGCAAACAAATTAGTGTGGCAGGAGAGGCGAGGACTTTAGCAGAAGACTCCTCATGGCTCCTGCGAAGTAAGAGAGACAATGAATTGCAGAAGAGAAAGGAGAAAGAAGTTGATGAGTTCCATGAGGTGAGGAAATTCTTACAAGATCTAAAAGCGGAATTACATAACTTTAAAAAAGAGTCAAATGGAACTGTTAGAAATGAAGGCTAGAATACAAGAAGTCAAAAGCTCCCTTGAAAGTGTTAAAAGCAGACTAGATCATACAGAAAATAGAATCTCAGGCATAGAAGAGAAAATTGCTGGCCTAGAAAAAATCCATCATGAAGCCTGAGAAAAATGCCCCCAAATTTGAGAATAATGTATGAGAAGTACTAGATACCATCAAACGTCCAAACATCCAGATAACTGGCATTCCAGAAGGCGAAGAGACTCATAAGGGCATTGATAATCTATTCCATAAAATCCTGCAAGAAAACTTTCCAAACCTAGAGAGGCACTGAAAGATCCAGTCACAAGAAATACAAAGGACCTCAAATAGAATCAACCTAAGAAGATCTTCTCCAAGACACATTATAGCCAGGTTGCCCAAACCACAAAGACAAAATACTAAGATTGGCAAGAGAAAAACATCAAGTTACCTACAAAGGATATCTCATCAGGCTAACAGCAGACCTCTCATCAGAAACAATGCGAGCGAGGAAAGAATGGGAAAATATATTCAAAGTGTTGAGAGAAAAGCAATTTCAGCCAAGAATACTGTACCCAGCAAGATTATCTTTCATGTGGGAAGAAATGACAAGAACGTTCTCAGATAAACAAAACTTGAAAGAATTTACCAGCACCAGACCAGATCTCCAAGAAGTTTTCAAGGGTGTGCTATCTCAGGAACATTAAATACAGACACATAAAAATAAGAGTTCAAAAACTAAGAGTTCAACTTTTTTGATCCAGCATATAAATTATATTATTTGGTATTTCTTTATCTGTGCCTGACTGCTTTCATGTGGCATAGTATTCTCCAATTCCATCCCTGTTGTTGCAAATGATAGA